GGTGTCTATCATTACCCCATTTCTTACCTAGAGGAGAATCACAGTGTAGGCAATACTGTAGTCACATCTAGCATCTTGCTAGGTTTCTTTGATCTTTCAGGGCTTACTTATCCAAAAATCTGTGTTTTCTCGACCGGTAGCAAACTAATATGTAATTATCAGTAGCCTATGTGGAATAAATGAATGGAAATTTTCAAGAAAAGAAGTGGTGGGGTGTGGGGAGATAGAAGAAGATAAAGTGAAAGAATGATTTGTAATGGAAGAATACAAACTAAAGAATGAAATAAAAATTAGATAGAAGAAAAAACTAAAGCAGAGAGAGAAGTAAAAAAAAAGAAGGGAAAAATGAAAATAATAAAAGCGAAGGCAAAGAAAAAGAAATGAAAATGTAAGAAAGAAAGAAAGAAAGAAAGAAAGAAAGAAAGAAAGAAAGGTTAAGAAAGAAAGGCTAAGAAAGAAAGAAGGAAGGAAAGAAAGGCTAAGAAAGAAAGAAAGGCTAAGAAAGAAAGAAAGGCTAAGAAAGAAAGAAAGAAAGGCTAAGAAAAGAAAGAAAGGCTAAGAAAGAAAGAAGGAAGGAAAGAAAGGCTAAGAAAGAAAGAAAGGCTAAGAAAGAAAGAAGGAAGGAAAGAAAGGCTAAGAAAGAAAGAAAGAAAGAAAGGCTAAGAAAGAAAGAAAGGCTAAGAAAGAAAGAAAGAAAGAAAGAAAGAAAGAAAGGTTAAGAAAGAAAGAAAGGCTAAGAAAGAAAGAAGGAAGGAAAGAAAGGCTAAGAAAGAAAGAAAGAAAGGCTAAGAAAGAAAGAAAGAAAGGCTAAGAAAGAAAGAAAGAAAGAAAGAAAGAAAGAAAGAAAGAAAGGCTAAGAAAGAAAGAAGGAAGGAAAGAAAGGCTAAGAAAGAAAGAAAGAAAGAAAGAAAGAAAGGCTAAGAAAGAAAGAAAGAAAGGCTAAGAAAGAAAGGCTAAGAAAGAAAGAAAGGCTAAGAAAGAAAGAAAGAAAGAAAGAAAGAAAGAAAGAAAGAAAGAAAGAAAGAAAGAAAGAAAGGTTAAGAAAGAAAGAAAGGCTAAGAAAGAAAGAAGGAAGGAAAGAAAGGCTAAGAAAGAAAGAAAGAAAGGCTAAGAAAAAAGAAAGAAAGAAAGAAAGGCTAAGAAAGAAAGAAAAAGAAAGAAAGAAAGAAAGAAAGAAAGAAAGAAAGAAAGTAGGAAAGGCTAAGAAAGAAAGAAAGAAAGAAAGAAAGACATTCAAGGGATGAGGAAGATAATAACATGAACATTAGCATAAATTACCAAAAACTTTTAGACAATTATAACAAATTATTATAATGAAAAGTAAAAAGAAAGAAAGAAATAGAAAGAAAAATAGAAAGAAAGAAAGACATTCAAGTGATACAGAAGACTATGACATATGAAGGTTAGCATGAATTATTTTTAGACAAAATGATTATTATAACGAAAATAAAAAAAAGAAAGATAGAAAGACATTCAAGTGATGTGAAAGACATATGAACATTAGTAGGCATTACCAAAGACTTTTAAACAAAATGATTATGATAATGAAATGAAAGAAAGAAAGAAAGAAAAAGAAAGAAAGAAGAAAATTCAAGGGAAAATGATTATTATAATGAAAAGAAAGAAAGAAAGAAAGAAAGAAAGAAAAATGAATGAAAGAAAGAAAAAAGAAAAAGAAAAAGAAAGAAAAAAGAAAATTCAAGGGAAAATGATTATTATAATGAAAAGAAAGAAAGAAAGAAAGAAAGAAAGAAAGATAGTCAAGTGATACAGAAGACTATAACATATGAAGGTTAGCATGAATTACCAAAGACTTTTGGACAGAATGATTATTATAATGAAAAGAAAGAAAGAAAGAAAGAAAGGAAGGAAGGAAGGAAGGAAGGAAAGAAAGAAAGAAAGAAAGGTATTCAAGTGATACAGAAGACTATAACATATGAATTAGCATGAATTACCAAAAACTTTTGGAGAGAATGATTATTATAAGTGAAAAGAAAGAAAGAAAAAGAAAGAAAGAAAGAAAGAAAGAAAGAAAGAAAGAAAGAAAGAAAGAAAATATTCAAGTGATATAGAAGACTATAACATATGAACTTTAACATGAATTACCAAGGACTTCTGGAGAGAATGATTATTAATAGTGAAAAGAAAGAAAGAAAGAAAGAAAGAAAGAAAGAAAGAAAGAAAGAAAGAAAGAAAGAAAGAAAGATATTCAAGTGATACAGAAATCTATACCATGAAGGTTAGCATGAATTACCAACAACCTAACCCTAACCCTAACCCTACCAACAACAGAATGATTATTATGATGAAAAGAATAGAAGAAAGAAAGGAAGAAAGAAAGAAAGTAAGAAAGAAAGAAAGAAAGAAAGAAAAAAGAAAGAAAGAAAGAAAGAAAGGCTAAGAAAGAAAGAAAGGCTAAAAAAGGAAGAAAAAAGAAAGGCTAAGAAAGAAAGAATGAAAGAAAGAAAGGCTAAGAAAGAAAGAAAGAAAAAAGAAAGGCTAAGAAAGAAAGAAAGAAAAAAGAAAGGCTAAGAAAGAAAGAAAGGCTAAGAAAGAAAGAAAGGCTAAGAAAGAAAGAAAGAAAGAAAAAAAGAAAGGCTAAGAAAGAAAGGCTAAGAAAGAAAGAAAAAAGAAAGGCTAAGAAAGAAAGAAAGAAAGAAAGAAAGAAAGAAAGAAAAAGAAAGGCTAAGAAAGAAAGAAAGAAAAAAGAAAGTCTATGAAAGAAAGAAAGAAAGAAATGCTAAGAAAGAAATAAGAAAAAAGAAAGGCTTAGAAAGAAAGAAAGAAAGGCTAAGAAAGAAAGAAAAAAGAAAGGCTAAGAAAGAAAGAAAGAAAGAAAGAAAGAAAGAAAAAAGAAAGGCTAAGAAAGAAAGAAAGAAAGAAAGAAAGGCTAAGAAAGAAAGAAAGAAAAAAGAAAGGCTAAGAAAGAAAGGCTAAGAAAGAAAGAAAGAAAGAAAGAAAGAAAAAAAGAAAGGTTAAGAAAGAAAGAAAGGCTAAGAAAGAAAGAATGAAAGAAAGAAAGAAAGAAATCTTCTAAAGAAAATGGCTCTAAAAGAAATGGTGTTAAGAAAAATAAAACAAAAAATGAATTAAACAAAATGAGATAAAATGGAGAAAAAAGTAAAAAATATGTAAATATGGAATGAAATTAGAAAAAGTGAAGATGGACAATGAAAAGGGGAAAAACTGTTAAAATTAAAAATAAGAAAAGATAAAGAGAAATGCTATGTTTCTCAGGAAACAGCTACCTGACCCTGTTTTATATGGCATCTATATGGAATTTTTGGCCGAGCCTACTGGCTCAGATACCCAACATTAAATTCAGCCTTGTGCCACATCTGACCATGTGGGGCGGTTCATAGATATCCTGCAGATAGAGATTCATTGTGGAATTCACTTCACTTACTTTCAGCAGTTAACAACTTTAACACACCACTGGTGGATCTTATATGTGTTGTTCTTGTTCTAATTATCATTGCTCATTACCAACCTTCATGTGATTATTCTATTCAGTAACCTTCCTTAGGTTACATATATATATATATATATATATATATATATATATATATATATATGTGTGTGTGTGTGTGTGTGTGTGTGTGTGTGTGTGTGTGCAAACTTGTGTGTTTGTAGTATGTATAATAGTATGTGAAACAAAAGAGAAGATGATGGCATCTCTTTTTCTCCAAAATCTCAATGTATTTTCCTTACACACAATATCGTCTTTTATTTAGACCTGAAGAAGCCAAATTCAACACATGTCTGTGAAACATGTTGTTTAAAAGCTTTTATACTTTGATATCATTGGTAGTATTTTTTTTTCTCTCCAGAATCTATCTTACATATCTATAAGTCTCCCATTCATCCATGCTTAGAATATTGCTGCCACATATGGTCCAGTGGACCTGCTATTTACATAGAGCTCCTCAATAAAATCCAATGAAGAATCAGCAGTATTATTGGCTCTGTTCTGGTAACTTAGCTTCAGTCAATTTCCCAATAACATAAAGCTGCCTCTTTGCCCATTCTATAAATACTTACATGGTAAATGTTCGGATGAGCTCTTCACTATGGTATCTAGACTTTTTGAATTTAAGTACAGTAAAAGACTGGCATCAAGGCCTCAACCATTTACAATTGAGCTGGCTAGATGTCACTGCAAATTCTATGCTAACAACAGTTTCTTTTCTCACACTTCTTGCTTGTGGAACTCCCTTCCAGCTCCATCCTTTCCAGCCTTCTTTAATCTGCAAAAATTTAAATGCAATATCAATCGCTATCTAATGTCCACCTGATTAATCTTTCCTCATTATTAATATTTCTCTAATTAATTCTACCATACCCTGTAACCACTTTTGTCTTAGTGGCTTTACTACCTTGAATGGGAGGATACCAATTAAAAAATGTACTTACATTCACTCACTCAAAGCAATACATATTCAGTGATACAAAATACAAATAATCATGCCAATGGAAATAAAGATAAGTCATCATAGAAATTTATTTTCAAAATGACCATATTTTTAATCATATGCATAGATAAGGTTTTTCTTATCACCACCAACCAGCTTCAATCATTTTTTGAAATATATATTTCTATATATTCTACAATTTATATTTATATATACTATTTTCATGCATATATATTATATTGTAGATCTATATTTTACATATATTTATGTTATTATATATATTTCCATTCAACATCATCTCTTGATAAGACAACAAGATGTATACATATGTATATTATATTGTAGATCCATATTCTATATATATTTATATATGTTATTTATATATATTTTCATTCAACATCCTCACTTAATAAGACAATATAAGATGTATATATATATTATATTGTAGATCTATATTCCACATATATTTATATATGTTATTTATATATATTTCCATTCAACATCATCTCTTGATAAGACAACATAAGATGTATATATATATATATATATATATATATATATATATTATATTTTAGATCCATATTCTACATGTATTTCTATTTATACATATTTTTGAACTACATATTTCTTGAGGTTGAAATATTTTTCAAGTTTTCTGGGTGAAGATTAAATTTTGCCAATTATATTAAATTGGTTTTAGTAAATTTTGTTACTTATTCTCTAAATTATGATGTGAAATTGCAAAACAAATCTTTTCAGGAATTAAAGCTTATCTCACCGACAGAACTGGATATCTATCTATCTATCTATCTATCTATCTATCTATCTATCTATCTATCTATCTATCTACATTGTTTCGCTGTATCACAACTCCTCAGTATGGTTAGATGTCTGACTGCTTCAAGCCGGGATCAAAACCCAACTGATTTGACATCTCACAGATATCTTACCTGTAGTTCATCGTCACACGGCAGAAAGGAATGGAATTTTAAATTTATGAGTTTCTTATAAAAGTGTATTGCAAATGAGGAAGAAAGATATTAACAATGGTCCAAAATGAATGCAAGCATAATTGATAGAATAAGCTTATTATATTATAATGTAAACATATTGCTAATGAATTTAGTATATTAATGTATTGAATATTAGGTGGAAAGGGATTATCAGTGGTCAGGATTTAATGGAAGCATTTCAGATGGAATAGGTTTACTTTATTTATGATATAAATGCATTGCTAATGAATTTACTATATGAATTTATTGGGTATCAGGTAGAAAGGGATTGTCAGTGGTTAGAAATTAATGAAATTATTATTAATAGAATAGGGGTATTATATGTATAATGTACATGCATTGCAATTGAAGTTACTATAGGAATGCATTGAAAATCAGTAAGAAAGCAATTGTCATGGTTTTTCTATAAGAATGCATTGAAAATTAGTAAGAAAGGTATTGTCAATGATCAGGCATTACTGTTAGAATAGGTTAATAGAATCATCAGTGAGGGGGGCCGGTGTGCAACTGAAACCGTTGAGAGGAAGGCCCCGAAACGGTGCACATTCTCTCCTGATGACCCCAGTTTAAATTTTGAGAGGAACACATCAAAATTCAGTGAAATCATATACCATAGAGAAGCTCGGTGGAAGTGTCATTGGCATGAGGAACATTATAGATTCATCTCGCTTCAGGTGAGTTTCAATTACTTTCTAGTAATTTCCTTGTATAATCTAAATGTATTACTAATGCCTTTTGATAAAAATTCATTAAAAATCAGGAAGAAATAGATCAAGAAATGGTCAGGAATGTATACAAGCATTACTTATAGAACAGAGATATTATATATATGATGCGAATGATTTCACTATAGGAATGCATTGAGATCAAAAAGGAATGGATTTTCTATAGTCCCAATTTAATACAGATATCACTGAGAGAATATGTTTTTTATAATTCTAATTATTCAAATGCATTCCTGAGCAGAATAAAAAGACTTAGTAGACAGGAAATAATACTACCAATAACGATATAATAAAAGATATTACATGTACAATATACAGAAAACAAAAACTAATGTCTACTAATCCATGTTTTGAATGTCAAGGAAAATTATTTAAAAGTCTCATATCATAAGTTTAAATTTCAGCAAAAAATAAACATATTTTTTTCCATGGAAAATTGCTGATGATACAAAATTCTATTTTCAGTTCTTGCATTTTAAAATTAAAACCCCAGGACTTCATAACATATATGAATGAAGAAACATAAACTGGTTATGTTACTGTGATTTCTTTTCCTTCTATTTTTTAAAAATATATTTGAACTATAATGTAAACTACTTAGTTTTTCAAGACATTTAAAAAAATAATTAAAAAAACAAACTTTCCTATCATAATTAAAAACATTGGTAACATATTTTCTTTCGTTGTTTTTGCTTGCTTGTTTCTTTTAAGGAATATTTAAAAAAATAATTTAAACTTATAATTAATAACTTTCTTTTAATTCTAGTAAAAATGGTTTTAAGGAAATATTTTTTAAATGTTAGAATTAAATTCCTTAATTCCACCAGAACTAACCATCAAAACTGGGACCCAGCATGCTACACACATAGTATCAAACCACCCTCATTCCCTGCAACCTTTATGTGAACCATCATATTACTATGCTGTTACCATTCAGCCACAGAGGAGTCTCTGGCTAACAAAAGTCCAAATTTAAGTCTGAATGGTAGCAGCATGTCAGTCTATATGAGAGTACCCATAAGGGTTAGATGTTTGATACCTGTTGGAGAGTGTATATAGTCTACGAAATTTCTCAAACATTCAGGCAGGAAAATGTAATCATTTACTTAAATAAATTATATCTATAAAAATAACGTATAAACAGAAAATATATGAAATAATTGTCGGTCTTAATCCATTTGATTATATATATATATATATATATATATATATATATATATATATATATATATATATATATATATACATATATATATATATATATATATATATATATATATATATATATATATATATATATATATATATATATATATATATATATATATATATATATATATATATATATATATATATATATAATCAAATGGATTATATATATATATATATATATTATATATATAATATATATATATATATATATATATATATATATATATATATATATATATATATATATATATATATATATATATATATATATATATATGTCAGTCTGTTCTTATCTTATCTCTTTATCTAATGAAATTGTCCAAATCATGTAACAATATAATTATCCATCCCACGAAATGTTTAATATTTAAAAACCACTGAACTAATTGAGTTTCTTTTTATAGATTTTCAGCTTAGCCATCTTGACACCATTTTTTGCAAGAACCACTGAAAAACCCTTTGAATCATTCAGCTAAAAAGAGATCAGGTTAAAATTGTTTTGTGTCAGACCCACTGTCTTCCCAACTGAGTAATGCTGAGCAGAAAAATTTTGTTTACGACTTCAGTAATGGTACCAATATTCATACTCTGCCTTCCATCAAAGCCTGTTCAAGAACCAACAAGCAAACCATGAATAAGTTTTAAAAAGAGGGAACAGTAGAGATGAAAACTAGATCAGGAGATTATAAGGGGAAACTGCATATATAATTCCCTGAATAAGAACATTACTTTTGTCCAAGGAAGTCTTTTTAGAAGACTAATCCTATTATACACACTTTACCACATTGTCATGAAGCAAGAGCAAGATCTAAAAAATCAGCCAATCTAAAAGTGATCTCATCTCACAATCCTCACACTTGCTCCATATGTGGCCTCCTTTGTAAATCACTAGCAGGTCTTAAATGCCACTTAAGATTATCGCACAAAATTTTATAACTGAAAACTAGATCAGGAGATTATAAGGGGAAACTGCATATATAATTCCCTGAATAAGAACATTACTTTTGTCCAAGGAAGTCTTTTTAGAAGACTAATCCTATTATACACACTTTACCACATTGTCATTTAATTATATATATAAGTGGTCTTGAGAATGTCTGATGACAGGATACCCAAGATCTTAATGTACAGCCAGTTAGATCAGGGCTACAGGAATGTAGGACACCCATGGCTAAGATACAAAGACAAGCTGAAAAGCAATTTCTCAGTAGTCAATATACCACATAACACCCTTGAGTGCTTAGCCCTGGAGCGGGTAGAATGGAGATCAACGTGTTTCAGTGGACTCAGCAATTTTTCAATCTGCTTGTCAAGAAGCAAGAGCAAGATCTAAAAAATCAGCCAATCTAAAAGTGATCTCATCTCACAATCCTCACACTTGCTCCATATGTGGCCTCCTTTGTAAATCACTAGCAGGTCTTAAATGCCACTTACGATTATCGCACAAAATTTTATAACTGAATCAATAAGCTGTCAGATCTCATACACAAAAAAACCAACGGAGAGGCCATTATATATATATATATATATATATATATATATATATATAAATGTATGTAAATGTATGTATTTATGCATGTATATATATATATATATATATATATATATATATATACAAATGTAATGAAAAAGAGAATAATGTAAATTCTAGCATTCACAGCATTAATTCAAAAGGGTGCTCAATACCAAGAGTAGAGCAATAATCATTAATTATAGATTTTTACATATGGATGAAAACAATTACCCAGTACAAAGATGCATTCTTCTTTCAATAAGGCATCTAAACAAGAATACATTTTTTAGAGAGTAGTTGTTTTTGCATTCTATTAATTATATATATATATATATATATATATATATATATGGATAAATATATATATATATAAGTAATACATATATATTATATATATATAGTTATTTTTATATATATATATATATATAATATCTGTATATATATATATATATATATATATATATATATATATATATATATATATATATATATATATATATATATATATATATATATATATATATATATATATATATATATATATATATATATATATATATATATATATATATATATATATATATATATATAAAATATATTTTCATTATATATATATATTATATATATATTTATATTTTATATATATATATATATATATATATATCATAATGTCAAGAATAAATTCCTTTTTTTTAGCATTTGAGAGTATTTGCAAATCATAGAATAAATGAGAGTTTTGTTATATCTTTTAACAACTCCTACTCATAGTATCAAAGGTTATATAAAAGAGAATTATACATAACAGTTAGACATGGTATTAATATCAAGGCCAATAATTCTAAATTTATATTATCAGAAAATGGAAATATAATTCTTTGAGATCAAGCAGGAGGTACTTTACTCTCAGGGGAGCCATTTTAAATCTAAAGGGAGAATTTTAGCTCTGGAAGAAATTGGGGCATAATTTCAGTCAAATGTTTAAGTCAAAAGTATAATAATTAAAAAATAAACTGCTTGGCTAAAATTTGAAATTGGGGAGGAACTGAGGAATCTTGAAATCACAAGTGGAGGAATGTGACCTGGGACTACTGATGAAAAAAAAAATAAGAATAAATCTGAATAGGTATATAGGTACACATATATTTATATATATATATATATATATATATATATATATATATATATATATATATATATATATATATATATATATATATATATATATATATATATATATATATATATATATATATATATATATATATATATATATATATATATATATATATATATATATATATATATATATATATATATATGGTCTACTAGACCGAAACGTCCAACGTTGACATTATATTAACATTAAAACACCAAAATTGCATATTAGGATTTTTGTTT